GCCGGGTCAGGAGAGTATTTACCACTCAATTTCCTCACTTTTTTCCAGACTGCACTCATAGAAGAAGCAGAGGTGATGGTGGAAACATAGTCTCGCCAACAAGTGCGTTTAGCTTCATGGATGACATGGCGAGCGATCACAGCTTCTGCTTAAAATCAAGAAAGTCTCTCAGCGGTTTCTACTGTACGGTACCTGCCCATGCAGCACGTTTTCAAACGTACTGCACGAGCACAAGCAGGAGACCACCAAGGCACGCACTTCTGAGAATGCCTGCCTGAGGTTTGGGGTATAGAATGAGAAGCTGCTGTATAAACTGACGTCGAGAAGATGTGTAGGAGCTCATCAATGGAGGATGAAGAAGGAACCTCACTAAAAGCAGTGAGGTGTGAGTAAAGATCCCAATTTGCCCGATCAAATTGCCAGCGAGGGCTACGGAAAGGTGGTGAATAGGAAGGAGAAGTAAGAATGATCAGAAAATGATCGCTGTCATGCAAGTCTGGTAGAACAGACCAGGTGAAGTCTAGTGCAGTGGAGGAAGAGCAGACTGATAGATCGATGCAAGAGAGAGTATGAGTACGAGGATCAAAATGGGTGGGAGTACCCGTATTTAAAACATGGAGGGGGTGAGAGGCGAGAAAAGCCTCCAACTGAATGCCACGTGAGTCACAATGAGACCCCCCCACCAGAGGAAATGGTGGGCATTAAAATCACCAAGTAACAGAAGTGGTGGTGGTAAGGATGACACAAAAAAGGCAAAGTCTGGGATAGAAAATGCTCGAGAAGGAGAGAGATATAAAGAACATATTGTAAACCACTTATTCAAGTGGATACGGGCTGCAGTGTAATGCAGCAAGGTATGGACAAATAGTTGACAGTACGGAATATTGCGTAGATGAAGGGCACTTTCATTAAAGGTCCCATCTGAGAAAGGATCCGAAGAATACAATAAATTATAGCCTGAGATAGGTTGGAAAACAGCCGAGTGTAATTCTGGTTCTTGTAAGCAAGCACCAACAGGGGAAAACCTGGACAGCAACATCTGAAGCTCACCCCGATTACCCCTGAGGCCGTGGATATTCCACTGTAAATAGGCCATGATTGGCGATGGAGAAAATATCAGGAATCTGTAGGTAAAGGCACCGACGGACTAGAGGGGTTAGAAAAGTCAACGTGTGGTGGCATTGGAAGACGTTCAAGTAGAGAAGGAACGGAGCGTTGCGAAGAATGGGGTTGTGAAGATGGAGGAGAGGGAAGAGAAGGAACAGGAAGTGAATCAGTGTCCATTGAAGGTTTAGTCTCTGCAATATATTCTGAAATGGCTTCAAGTGTTTCTGAATTCAAAGATGTATGGGAGACCATATTGGAGATAGAAGGAGAGAGGGGAAGAACTAGGTACAGAGACTGGAAAGGTACAGTGTGGAGGTGGAAGAAGGGAAGGAAGGGGCAAAGAAGATTTGAGCAATGTGGATTTTTTGGACTTCTGAGTAGAGGGGCGATTGGTATTAGGTGTCGTACGAGGTCTTGTCGATACTGGGGCTTGTGAGGAAGGACGCGAAGATGTGAGAACAGACTGAGTTGTAGTCGGGACGTCAGAGCCAAGGACAGCAAAAGGATTAGATGCCGTAGTGGCTATGGAGGGGTAACAACAGAGGAGGCTGCAGAAGATGGTACCCCAGAATGTAGGGGGATGTTGGAAACACGAGAATAAGAAACACGGGGTATTCTCCCTTGGAGGCGGAGATGAGTAACTGCCATAGCATAAGGGAGACCTTCTGCCTCTTTGAGGCAACCGGATTTCACGTTCATTTAAGTAGACCTGGCAACGGCAGGAGTACGAAGGGTGAGCTTCATTACAATTAAGGCAAGATGGAGGTTGACTGGCAAGATGTATTAGAATGGCCGTCGGCACCTCAGACTGGGATATTCGGCCATAGATCTACAATATTTCGTGGGTGGCAAAACGCCAGCAATTTCTACTTGTGCAGTGTAAGTATCACATTTCGAACTTGTAAACCGATGTCCGCGACATATACAGAGGGACGGGGAGGAGTTCTCGGCTGTCAAAGTTTTTATAGAGGACATTGCAAGGGTAATGTCTCCGCCCCCGGACAGGAAGGACTAATGTGTTACTTTGAGGATTGGGAGGATCTGAGTTCCCATTGTGTAATGAATGTCATTGGCCACATGACTGGAAATTCTGTTGGACTATGGTATGGGCAGGGAACCAGAATGACAGTACCACTACTAGTATTTAGAGAAAGATGTTTTTCAATAGTGATAGGAGTAGTATCAGATATCGAAAGGAAGAGAAAGATCATGAGCTTGGGTAGCATTCTGGAAAGATGACGATGGCGTACCGCTCTTGAGAGCATGAAATGAAATATCCTATTCTAACAACCATGACCGGAGCGCTTTGCCAATACTATGGTCAGAAAGGTAGGCAGAAGAAGAAGTCGGTCTTAAAGTAAAGAATTTAGTCCATTGTGTGGTCCGAAACTGAGCGTGGAGAGGGAGTGCTTGACGTGTCGGTCTTTTCCGAGTAGAATGGGAGGTAACGAAGGGCATAATCAGGAGATTGACTTGGCGTTTAGGAGTTGGGAAGGAGTTGCTTCCGGCAGTGTGAAAATGGGAGGGCGATTCGAGAATTGCCGTACCGTAGAGGGGAAGTAGTCCATTGTGTGGTTCGAAACTGAGCGTGGAGAGGGAGTGCTTGACGTGTCGGTCTTTTCCGAGTAGAATGGGAAGGTAACAAAGAGCATCATCAGGAGTTTGACATTCGGCGTTTTGGAGTAGGACCGGAGTTGGTCCGGCGTGAAATGGGCGGGCGATTCGAAAATTGCCGTACCGTAGAGGGAGAAGCCGGAAGCATAGTCAAAGGAGAGCGTGGTAGAGAGTTCAGACAAATCGAAGGAGTCAGTCGATGAACGGTACTGAAGCAGGTGAGGAAACGCACCAGTGTGCAAAGAGGTACAGGGGCACAGGAGTGTAATCCGAAGAGTGGTTCTAAACACAAGGACAGGGTCAGAATGGGGTGCGGGCGTATGAAAGTTGGGGCCCGGACGGTAGTGGGGCTTCATGGTTTGCGGGTCTCCAGGGGTTAGGTTACGCCTTTGCTTTTTGTTTTTAAGAAAAAAAAAGAAAGAAGAAAAGAAAATAAAATAAAAAAAAAATAAAAAAGGGGGGAGCGGGGAGGAAGTTTTCCCGGGAGGAATGAAAGGGCCGGAAATCTCCCTCCGCGCCCAAGAGGACCTCAGCACCGCTATAGCGCAGATGCAGCATGGAACCCGTGCCATACCCTACCATTCATCCCAGTAAACCAGCAATCCGGGATAGCAAACCTCACATCTGCCGAGCTACCTCGGTGGACAAAGAGAGGGCGGCCGATATCCACCACAAAGCATACCTCCTTCGGCCCACCCCCCCCGGGGAATCCGAAGGTGGCTTCCAGAGATACACCCGTCGCCCGAAAAAACCCCCAAAGCTACTCCGGGGATACTGGAACGGGATCGGGACATCCCCCAGGCGATCCAGATTCCACGGCAAACTAACGCCACGCCAAGAACTTCAACGGAATCGGATGGACCTCGGTGTCCTTTCCCTACTAGGACTAGTGCGCCTTGGGGGGAAATCCAAAGGCCAAAAAGAGGAAGGGCAAAAGGGGGTGGGGAGGAGGAGGAGGAATGGAAAAAGGGGAGGATGGGATAGGGGAGGGGAGAATGGGGGTAATTAGGTTCGGTCTGAGGAAGAAGACCGACAGGCTAATAGTACAGTTTTAGAGGCTGTACCTCTCTCTCTCTCTATATATATATATATATTATATATATATTTTATATATTATTATATAATTTTATATTATATATATATTATTATTATATATATATATATATATTTTATATATTATATATATATTAATATTTTATATTATATATATATTATATATATATATATATGATATTATATATATATATTTTTATATATATATATTTATATATATATATATAATTATATTAATATCTTATATATATTATATTTATATATTATATATTATATATATATTATTATTTTATAAATATATATATTTATATATATATATATATATATTATATATATATATTATATATATATATATATTTATATATTATTTTATATATATATATATATATATATATTTTATATATATATTATATATATATTTATATTATAAAAATATATATTATATTATATATTATATTATATATATATTATATATATTATATATAATATTAAATATTTTAAATATATATATTATTATATATATATATATATATTATATATATATTTTTAATATATATTTATATATTTTATATATATATATTATTTTTAATATATTATATATAATATATTATATATATATATTATATAAAATATATATTTTATATATATAAAATATATATTATATATATATTATATATATATATTATATATTATTATATATATAATATATTATATATATATTAATAAATATATATATATTTATATAAAATATTATATATATAATTTTTATAATTATATATATATTTTATATATAATATATTTTTTATTATATATATATATATATATATAAAATTTTTTATATAATATATATATATAAAATTAATATATAATATAATATATATAATATATATAATATATATTTTTAATATATATAAAATATATATATATATATATATATAATATATATATATATATATATAATATATATATTATATATATATATATATATATTATATATATAAAATATATATTTTATATATAAAATATATATATATATATAATATATATATTAATATTATATATGTTACCAATACGTTTCCCCCAGAAATTATCACCGCCTCCACAACCTGTTTAGTATCAATATATAAATGTTAAGTATTAACTAATCACTAATGGTAGGAGGAGACTTGTGTTGACGGTAGCGTCTAGCAACCACCCCCGGCGACCATACCTCGCTACCCCTCCTCACTAACCTCAGTCAATACCTCACACAAGTTTGCGTCTCACTCCAGTTCAACTTCTCCAAGTGCGAAAATCTCTCATTTTTTCCATAAAAGAAACCATTCCAAAATACTAATTATAATGTTGCACAGATATGTGATTTTTCATGTGCCTCTTTGTCGTGTTGGGTTATAAACACTTTGTTCTGCGGACTCACAGGTATGGAAAAGCTTTGCTTATTAGCAGTGTTTTAAGTTCATTTTGCTTGCATATTTTTTTTATTTTATAACTATTCATGAATATAAATAGTAGCATCACTTAAATTTTTTTTTTAAATTAATTACCTAATTATAAAGAGTCTTGAAAATAACTCGTATAGTTTTCAGTACATTTGTCTGTGACAAAACTCATTCAACAAATCCTTATCTTTTTCCAAGAAGCTGCCTTATTTTTATTATTGGATATATAGCAATGTTAATGCGTTTTACCCAGTATTTGAATACACACAGCCATACCTGGGTGTTGTTGACTACTGTGGGATATGGCCCACAGTAGTCAACAACACCCAGGTATTTATTTACTGCTAGCATGTGCAAGGAGACACGTCTGTAAATTCTTGTTCTGCTCAGAAATAGAACCTGGTACTGTTGTGTTGAGGATAGAACACTGACCACTTAGTTATAAGTCACCAACCCACTTTATTGTTCGATGGGAGGGTAGGCTTATTTAATCCTACGTCAGGATCTCTGCTAGATGAACATATCCTAGGAACCCTCACAACCATAGGAGTGGGTTCCTAATGCCGGGAACTAGACAAAACTGCTAAAATTCTCATCACTGCAACATTATTATTGTTGCTGTGTATACACCTCTTGGGGTATACACACTAAAAGATGAAGATGTATATACACTCAGAGATGCAAAATTATCAAGTGTATATGTATCAAGACCTTAAGAAATACACTTATCTGTGTATATACACCTACTCATAGGATATACCCCCCCCCCAGAGGCCGGAGCTTACTACCACCTGCAGCTCATAAGACTGCCATCCCCACGAGCTCCTTTGGGGCGGGGCAGACCAGAGGCCTAGCTTCTCCCTACGAGCCCCGTGAGGGCGGGGAATGTGGCTAGGCCTGGGGACACTTGGTCCCAAAAATGAGGGGGTACTTGTACCTCCTCCCATGGGAGACTTAGGTCTCGAAATACTCCCCAGATAGGGAGCCAAGGCCGGGTCACCACTACTTGGAAAAGACCCGGGCCGGGAGAATACCGGCGAATAAAAAAAAAATATATACCTGTCATATTTATATTTAAAGATAATCAAAATTTTCTCGTCAATGACTCTATTGGGAATTTGTGTCCGCTCATAAACAACTCTGTTGCCACGCAGTTACACATAGGTAAACACATCGTGTAAGTAATTACACACGCAAATACTTCAGCATAGGACAATTTCGCGATTAATTTCACATTTTAAAAAAAATATTAAATACAAAATTCTCGATCATAATTCTGCTGGCCTCACCTACTTTGATATTACGCACACGCAACTACATCACCTCTGAGGAATTTCTTTACAGAGCCAGAAACTGCATGCATCACTAGTTTGGTCCTTCATTTACACTCATAAATTCACAAGGGTGATTTATTTTATTATATCTCACTGAAAATTATTTAAGATAGTTTATATGCGTAAGAACGACACTAATACTAAAAAAAATAATATATACAACAGGCGTGAACTGCCTTTAGTTTAAATTTCATAGAAAAACAGGGTCATTATTGATAAAGATATATAAAAAGCTATAATAATAGACACACACACATATATATATATATATATATATATATTATATATATATATATATATATAATATATATAATATATATGCAATAAGATCACAGTAAACAGGTGATTTTAAAATATGCAAAGCAACCACTGTGAAAGAGTAGTGAAATTCCAAGCGGTTTCGTGACTACTCACATTGTCAAGGAACTATATGACAATGTGAGTAGTCACGAAAGCGCTTGGAATTTCACTACTCTTTCACAGTGGTGGTTTTGTTTTATGTATATAAAATATATTATATATATTATAAATATATTATAAATATATATTATATATACACTTGATTAGTGACTGTACACATGGAAAAATGCCATAATAACTTAGTGCAGTCGATACGATCTAAAAACGTAATAAACGAACCAGCCATTGACATGTGTTTTCCTTAGACGGAGTTTGTCGGGTGTACAAGACTCACCATGGGTGGCAGTAGAACAGCAGTGGAGCACTGCCAGCCCACCAGACAAAGAACCTAACACAGTCCTGAAGATATCCGTTCTGGTCAGGCTGCTGGCTATGTCATCCTACAGGACACCATTGCAGCCCCAATTTAGGACCTCCATGGAGTCTCCTGAGCCTTTAACCAGGCGAGACATCATGGACATCAACACTTCTCAACTTGAGATGGACGTGAGTACAGATTTTCAGTCAAGAGAATGCAATGTTCACCTGGATCACCGGGATGCTACCCACAATAGTTAGCTCACTCCTAAGTGCGTATTTACTATTAGATAAACAAAGACAAGAGGTAAACGTTGTCTCTACCTCAGGTGGAAGTCAGCAGAGGAAGCTACCACTAAGCTACGAGCCAGGAAACTTTCGCATGAGCTACTTGTATCACCAAACTAAATATTTGCATTTTATAAGGGGCTAAATTTACTAGGAATTAAAACCCTGTATTTTTATATAGCATATTATTTGCAGTGTAGTGAGATGTTACGGTGCTGGTACTCACTAGTTAAGTAATTAATTAGCAACCTCTGGCATACCCTTGCAAAGTTTTACTTCATATTTAATGAAAAAAGATTACTAGTCATGTATCCTAATACGATCAACGTGCACAGGTTGGGGTGGGGGACGGGAAAGGTAATTCCGTGGAAGAATGCTCACCTCATGCAATAACTCCCAGGGTTGATCTAAGGCAAATTCCAAGGCTATACTTACATTCTGGCGTGGAGCTATAAGTAATGTATACTTCACTCTGGCTACATTCGCTGAGTCTTGCTAGTAAGTGGCTGGGTGACCTTAAAATACAGCCGTTTCGTAAGGAGAAATAATGGTGGCAAAGGGTGCCTCAATAGGTAATGGAGTTTAAAGCCTGCTGACAACACGAAGGCCATTAAGCTACATGTAAACTATTCACCACAACTCAAGAATACTATAATACCTAAAATAGAGATTGAATTAAACTCTCAGCGTTTATACACTTAGACATACACCTCAAGCAGAATATACCCTGTGGTGCCTCAGAGGATGATTGGTTAATTGAGTTTAAAGCCTATCGACTTCACAAGCATGTTCGATTAAGTCAGGTTCGTCAGGAAACAGGAAAAGAGTTTCCTGACGCGGGTCTTAGTCAGATGATGACCCGCCATTGGAGCTTTTGGTCATCTGATCGAGGCCTTCTGCTGGCTTACAGGTCCACCCCTTTAAAAATAATATAAACCTGTGTATATACACTATTATGCTTTGCATCATACCCTGGTGCCTATCTACAGGATTGTATTATTATTATTATTATTATTATTATTATTAATCAGTGTCGAATTTAAGGACTGCAATGCGTTTGGTGACAATTCATAGTTTAAAGTATACAACAATAAGTGGGTTTTGTAGTGAGGACATATACGGTGTGTAAATTGTTATAACTTTCTCTTTGTTTAAATTAAGTGAGGTTCCGTATCTGAGTTAACTCCACGGATAAAGCATGCTATGTTTCACTTATTTTTTCCCCTTGCTCCACTAAACATAATAAGACAATGATACCTCATAAACACAGCCTATGGCAACTGGGACAACAAAACCACACACTTTGCAAGACTCGCTTATTATTGTATATGGTGAACTGCAAATAATCAAGAAAAGCGGTGGAACCTTCAAACTCTGTTATTATATTATTATTATTATTATTATTATTATTATTATTATTTTAATTTTGCCTGGCCTTTATTCATTACTCTCGGTTAATTGTTTGTTAACCTAACAAGACTAACCTGATCTAAACTAATCGAGCGTATAAATAGTTACAATTAAGAACATGTAGAGAAGCAGAAAATTGAAACTAGTATTTATAATAATGGGCATAAGGTAATTGTGTGCACCAATAACAACATTCGTTTTTAACGTCAACGTATAAGCAATCGTTTATACGTTGTCAGAACTTATACTCCAAAAAAAAAAAAACACTGCTATGGTCATTCAGAATAACCTAATCAACATTCAGTTAACTTCGTGTATGTTTTAACATGGCATAAATGTTTACATTCGCAGCTGGAGTCCATTCGCGTAAGACGTGCTCATCTCAAAGCTCTCACTGCCTCTGTCAGACTTCCTCCTCTCATTCCGCCTGACGAGGCTGAAAGTCGCCCATCTTCAAGGTACCACCATGACTCAACCAGAAGTATATCATCTGGAGAGAGATATATGTTTACACCGACAGAAGTCAGAACAAAAACGAACCTCAAAGATCCCAGTAACATCCGCCAGGACGCGGTCTGCCAACATTAAACTGCCCAAACTCACCGTCTGCCCAATGGCGTTAGTATCGTTGATTTCCTCCTCTTGTGTGTGTATATACTCGACAGCCTTAAATTTTCTAACTCGGTTATAAATTTTCCACTAAATGAGATTACATAATTTAACTTTAAATTAATAATTTATAATATAAATGATCTTTCCCAAAATATAATAGTTTTTATTTTAAATCTGATTATTTCCCATATAATTTTTAACATTTATTATATTTTATTTTTTTAATGTCATTACCACTTTAGTTTTATTGTAGAATCAGTATATACAATCACATAATTAATGTGATTTTTTTAAAATATTTATTCAGTGTTTCACCCCGCCAGCATCATTAGCATGATTGTTCAGTGCTCCACTACCATTAATATTCAGTGCTCCATTAACATTAATATTCAGTGCTCCATTAACATGGATACAGTATGCGTTGTTTGGTTGTTTTATTGGGTTTAAAACAGAGAGTCATTTAAGGCTTTGTTTTAAACTCACTATTTTAGGGATTAAGGTATACCTCCAGTCAAGTATACCTTAATAGAATAGTGATTAAATTATCAGCGTATTTATACTGATTATTATTATAATCAAATTAAGTGCTAAACGCGTAAGGGATACGTACACTGAGAGATACCCATCTCAGCTGTAACTTAAATATTAACCATGTAGACTTAACAGTTTAACAGTCAGGTCATCACATCCCACTGACGGAAATTGAATACATATACACACTGAGTATTGAGTATATACATCCATTGCACTGAATATGTTGCAATGGTATACTGAAAGGGCTTTACAAATATCCCAGAAAGGTAAAGAGGAAGTGGAATTTGTGTGGTGAATGGCGAGGAGCAGATAAACACGGAATGTAAGACATGCGGCATCGGGACTTTAAAATGCTTTATCAATACACGACGGAGTCGTGTTCAGGACGAGAAAAACGTCTTATTAAATAACAAAGCTGACTCTTTTATGTGTATTTTAAACGTTCCAGACTTGAAGTTCCTGGATGATATTTTTTTTTTACTTAAAATCCGTTAAAGAAAGAAAACAATGAAAAGTTTGTCTTCCCTTATCACTATTTTGAACTGTTATGGACATGAAAACTAGGCTAAATTTATATGATGGCCAGAGAATGCCTTTAAATATAATTTTCCAAAATTTGGAAAACCCTGTCATTTATCCTAAATATATTTATAGTTAGTAATAATCAGCATAAAATATACTCATTACATGGCTTCAGAAATAACATTATATTTCAGTTTAACAGTTTGTAACTCTTCTAGCGGTTGAATCTAACAATTTTTTTCAGCAAGAGGTAAGAATGTGATACCATAGAAAATTCCATACAGTCGTCACTCCTTTTACACTCTAGTGAGGGTAAGACGACATGCATAAAAATGAGACAACAGATGGATAAACATTAATTGTGCCACCTATCAAGATAACATATTCCACATTTAGAAGCTTCATTAAAAATATATTGAAACCAATATACACATATCAGGAGACACTTTCCTGTTTCCTAAGAAAACACCTCCAATAAATGCACAGCTGTCGTTAATTAGTTGTAGCTCTGTTTTAACTTTATTCTTAAACGTGTAAATTAACATTTAAGAATGTTAGAAGGTCACATCACATCCCGCTGCCGGAAATTGGCCACATCAGGAAGATGGAGGAGGAAGCCTCTTCCATGGAACGTACAAACACAGATTCGTCATCTCCAGCAACCAACGAGAACGTTCAGCTAGTCAGTACAAAACCTGAAGACGTCTCACAAAAGAGCAAGAAATTACAGTTGAAAGACGTTCGGAAGGTAAAGCTATTTTTTGGAACTTTTTTTTGTGGGGAAGGGGGGGGGAGGGGGGGAAGGTTAGCAGTTGTCATGTTCTAGCGCCCCAGTAGGATTGCTGCTCCCTCACAGGGTAAGGGACAGGATAGATCTACAAGAATGGAGTTACTACGAAAGACAGATGAATCAGTTGGGTGTTTACAACGTGCTAGTTTAAGTCAAGGACAATAGACTACACTTAACGTCATTAAGGCTGAAATTAACCAAAACACAAACATCAACAATACTTTAATCTTTAATATAGGGATTAAAGAAAACTCGCAATCTATACAAACTAAGAGACATATACCTCCAGATGTATATACATTAACAAATATTCACTTTTCGGGGAATGAACACCGAGAGCCATACGTCTTCAGTTGATATACGCTGTTAAGTATAAACCTTAGTGTATATGGTTGCTATACGTTTCTCGGTGTATATATATACATGCACAAATCTCGATGTATAGTGTATACATCGACATATATACATCTGTAAATTTTCTGTATATAAACAAAGAGATATAGCCTGTATTTACATAGTGACTTATCCCTCACGGTATATATACATAGAGATCTGTGCTTGTCCGTGTATACACTGAAAGATATACATCTTTTGGTGCATATACTCCGGGAGAAATACGTCTCCCTACATGCATACGCAAAAGAGTATACACTGACTGATGTTTATACTGCGTCGTTCACGCCAAGCTGGTGCGAACATATATTAGACTACTGCATCAACTAGATTGAACCAAATTAAGAATAAACACTGCCTGCCCCCTAAGCGGAAATCGAACAATAAATTATTGAATGGTTGCCAGGCTACTAGACTAACTTGACGCCCACACGTGCGTCACTAACATTTATCATGCTAACATATATCGTCCCAGCTGTCTATCTACTGTTGTAATATTTCACTAGGAATTATTACTCTTGGGCCTAGAGTAACATAAAAATGAACGAAAGGTTAGTGATTATTTTTTATAGACCACTACTACTATGCTACTACTATTACTACTTCTACTACTACTGCTGCTACAACTACTACTACTACTACTAATACTAATAATAGTAATACAAATACACTACATTGAAGCATACCCTTCGCACACACGAAATCTTGTTAGTTTAGATTAGGTTAGAAATGCCTATAAAACGCATGACTAACTAAATGTATCAGAACACCTCAGTGTTGTGCTTCCATCTAAGAGATGCCTGGCAGTGGTCCCTCCCACGTTAGTTAGTCCTAGGTCATACTGGCGAAGCTCAGGGAGTATTGTGCCACCTTCCACGGTTATGTATCTCTCTCAGGAATATCTGATACTTAAACAACGGCTTATTGTAGAGATGAGCTCCTTGTGTTGTGACTTCAGCTATAGGTTATTATGTACATTATCCAGTGTTAGGTGGGTTGTACAACAGTTATATTTTGAGCGTATGGAAAAAAAAAGTAATTTTTGGTAACCAAGGAAACTAATCCTTCCTAACCAAAACTAACCTAACTTAAATTCTAGGTTAGGTTGGATTGCTTTTCTATTTATAGGTTACCAAAGAATAGCTTTATAAAACAGACCCCCCCCCTTAATATTACAGAATTTGCATAAAAGTTACGAAGCGCGCATCTCTATGTTCACCAAATAAAAACAATATATTTTTAGACATGTATACTGACATAAATAATAATGAGAAAACCAACTTTCACATTTCTTCTCATCTCTCCCCAGGTAGCTACTCCAGCATCAGGCAAGAGGAAAACGGTGAGTGATGCTTCCACTAAAACGTTTCTCAGCGAGATGACTTGATGAGACTGAAGTCAGAGTCATGAAGTTTCTTCTCTTAGATTAAATCTATTTACTTCCTACTCCTTCATTAGTTAATATGGAAACACAGTGTATATATATAAAATTAAAATATATATATATATATATATATATATATATATATATATATATATATATATATATAATATATATATATAAATGTCGTGCCGAATATGTAAAATTGGTCAATTAGCAAGAACTCTTTTAAAATTAAGTCCTTTCTAAACTTTCCTCTTATACGTTTAAAGATATATTTTTTTCATTAATGTTAATGTAAAATTTTTTAATTTTGCACCAAAAGAAACTTAGAAAACTTACCTAACCTTATTATAACAAGAAAAATGAATTATAGCCTAACCTAACTAAATATATTTTAGATTTGGTTACAGTAATTTAATACTAAACAAACAGTGAAATATATTTTTCTCGTTAGGTTCAGAATGATTTTGGCGAAATTATTGCATACACAAATTTTCGCTTGTCCTATATGGCAAGATGAGCGTTGCCATTTAAGCCAAGATCGCAAGTTCTGCCTATTCGGCACGACATTATATATATATATATATATATATATATATATATATATATAATGTATATAATATTTTTTCTCTTCCAGCCCATCTCATCATCCCCGGGGGTAGGACCACAAGTGGCAGCTGCTAAATGTGTATGTATTTGTGTTTTAATAACGTAATACTTGTTTAACTCACTTTAATATTAGTATTCAGTGCTGGATGACCCTCACGGTTTAAGTTAATCTTGGTGAATGTGATAATTAGATTATTAATCAATGAATAAACAAATTTTCCCTCACTTCATTTGATATCAGTTATCTATTTTAATTAAGATTGATTTCAAATTTTAGATTTCCCCCTAGACTCCCTTCTAAAATTATCAGTCAGAATTCTCTCTCTCTCTCATATAATATGTATATGTCGTGCCGAATATGTAAGACTGGTCAGTTAGCAAGAACTCATTTAAAATTAAGCCCTTTCTAAAATTTTCTCTTATACGTTTAAAGATATATTTTTTTCATTAATGTTAATGTAAAAAATTTTAATTTTGCACCAAAAGAATCTTAGAAAACTTACCTAACCTTATTATAACAAGAACAATTTATTTTAACCTAACCCAACTATATATATTTCAGATTTTTTTACAATAATTTAATACTAAACAAACACAGTGAAATATATTTTTTCGTTAGGTTCAGAATGATTTTGGCGAAATTATTGCATACACAAATTTTCGCTTGTCCTATATGGCAAGATGAACGTTGCTATTTAAGCCAAGATCGCAAGTACTGCCTATTCGGCACGACATACATATATATATATATATATATATATATATATATATATATATATATATAATCTCAGATATTTAGTATATTTGCTCTATACCTATAATATGGCTTTCTAAAGACACCAAAATTTTTTTAGTAAGTTAATAAATAAAAGTATTTACAATTGATTCCCTTCTGATACATTGTGCAGGTAGCAAATTAACGTGTAATATCGTACGCTATATAACTTGAACTCTAATGGCCATATTTAACCAAAATATTTAAATACTAGTAAAATACACCATATGTTAAGGAATTACATACCCTATATTGTCCTTCAAAACTTGATCACTATGCAGGTAACCATAGGTTCGGAATAATTATTAGTGGTGAACTACAGTGCCACCGATTTTTATAATATATATCCCATCCATAAAATTTTATATATATTCTAATTATATTTAAAATTTCTACTGACCATTTTTCATATATAACTTCGTAAGTTTTGCAAATTAAAAATGGGTTATATATTGTAGTGGCAGCATCTAGTTAATTGTGCACACTATTTCCACTCCGAGGACGCTAGTAGCTAGTATACTGCACATACAGTATTCATCTAGTGGACGGTAGCAGCTAGTATACTGCGCATACAGTATTCATCTGGTGGACGGTAGTTTATCTGGAGAGAGTTCCGGGGGTCAACGCCCCCGCGGCCCGGTCTGTGACCAGGCCTCCTTAGGTCAGTGTCCCAGGATGCGACCCACACCAGTCGACTAACACCCAGGTACCCATTTTACTGATGGGGAACATAGACAACAGGTGGAAAGAAACACGTCCAATGTTTCTACTCTGGCTGGGAATCGAACCCAGGCCCTCACCGTGTGAAGCGAGAGCGTTAACCACCAGGCCACCAGAGCTAGCAGCTAGTATACTGCACATACAGTATTCTAGTGGACGGTAGCAGCTATACTGCACATACAGTATTCATCTAGTGGACGGTAGCAGCTAGTATACTGCGCATACAGTATTCATCTGGTGGACGGTAGCAGCTAGTATACTGCGCATACAGTATTCATCTAGTGGACGGTAGCGACTTGAGTCGTGTACCTCACATCCGTCCCGCGGACGGTAGTACCAGAGTATATCGATAATAGATACACAAACAGCCAAAGTACTTGGCCCTACCAGAGTTAACAGGGGAATTAAAAGAGAAAAGAATATAAATTATGCACCTTGCACATTAGGAACCTAGCACAGTAAACAGAGCGATATATATATGTATATCTGACAGCATTTATATAGCACTCAGGCAGATCAATGACTTAGGCAATGTATGTGAAAGTAGATCAATACATTCCTGCCATTCAGGACATTAAAAATTTCTCTCATGATCCATGTACCTGTCACTTATGAAATTGTTCACATACTTCTTTCAGTCTCGAAATTGGTCGTTTAATGGATTTTTCACGCTTGAGAACCTTTCACATGCGGCTTTTGCGCTTCCCGAAACATTGTACTATCCTCTAAATTATCAACATCGTTGTTACAAAAAGAGAAGTTGTCTGAATGCTGGGTAACACAAGTGAGTGGAGAACTCTGGGGAGTTTGAGATCAATCTCCTTACGTATGTAGCCTGTGTAAGTCTTCTCTCTAGTAACAAGATGTTGGATCAAGGTCAGGACTGGCTATCTTGAGTATAAAAGACCATCTTAATAGTTTTTTTTTTTTGTAAATTATAACCGACAAAATAATAATTAATATATTTAATATTAACGTGTTTTAAAAGAAGTAACGTAAATATACTCTTGTTGAAAAATACTGAATGGTGCTTTTGAGTACAATAATACTTAAAGTATAAGTTTATAATACAATTTATGAACATTTAGTTAAAGGAATATTTCCATTGTCACAAGTAAATCACCATATATACACATACACATAGACGAAGTGACTTACTATAGATCCACTATATACATACAAGGCTAAATAGTACATTTGTGCTTGAATAATCACTAGCTTTGAGTACGATAATCCACCAAGTAAGAAGCTAATCTATAGACGGAAACATTTGTCAAAACATAACAAGCGATTTTAACGAAGAACGAAAGTACACAGCCGAGATCTTCAGTAGAATATAGAGTCCTAATATTAACTCCCTTCTTACTGAATAAGATCGGCTTACTTCAAAATAAACACTATGGTGATACGTAGAGATCACAGTTAAATCCACTGAATTACTTTATACCGTCAGAAAAACTCGCAATCTTAGTAGACATCAAAATCTCTAAGTCCAGAACTAACGCTGTCCTTCACAAATACTTAGTGTAGCGAGAAAGAGGATCTGTCTCACCAGCGGAACCGTCCATTATCCAAAACTTGAGTCAAAACAAACTTCGAGATGTTTCCAAGGCCAGAAGTAGGCTGGTACTCACTCAGGCAACGAGATGTTACCAAGGCTAGAGGTAGGCTGGTACTCACTCAGGCAACGAGATGTTACCAAGGCTAGAGGTAGGCTGGTACTCACTCAGGCAACGAGATGTTACCAAGGCTAGAGGTAGGCTGGTACTCAGGCAACGAGATGTTACCAAGGCTAGAGGTAGGCTGGTACTCACTCAGGCAACGAGATGTTACCAAGGCTAGAGGTAGGCTGTTACTCACTCAGGCAACGAGATGTTACCAAGGCTAGAGGTAGGCTGGTACTCACTCAGGCAACGTCTCTAAGTCAGACATCAACTCGGTTCATGGGACGCCTACCCTAGAGACCAATTGACTATTTTACGGTAGTTAGCACAGCAGTTCCCGACCTAATTCAATAAAACACATCCTACCTATATACATAGCTAAATAATATAAGGTCAGACAATATTATAGAGCAAGATAACTTCATTTTAGTTATTAATGAAGATATAGACAATATAACATTAAGTGAAAATAAAAATATATACATATAATAACAAATACGCCTTAGGTCCCATGTAAGGGATGCAACAATCGTACTAAAACACAATTAACATTGTAAACTTTGGAAGAAGTCGGCTTATTATAAAATTTGATCTCTTTGTTCCAAGGAATTGGAGTCACTCTCCCTTGGATTACACCTGATTACCTCCTATTTCCTAAGAGCGTTGTATGATCGATATGAGATGTTACCATCTATTATTATGATATTTTATAGATTTTTTGCCCTCAGATAATGCCATTAATACTGAATATGATAGTTGTGGTTATTAACAGTAACTTCATCTTTCAAGTCGTGTAGCTCAAGACAGAAGACACCCAAGAATCAGCCAGAAGTGAGTTTCTTTGTTCAGTTTGTTAATATTTATTCTGATATTTCCTTATCCTCCATTAGCTTCTCGATCTAACATCTTCTAACAACTACTTGCTCTAACATCTTGCTTTAACTAAATCTTCTAACATACTCATATTTTAACATCATGTTCTAAGACCTTCTTAGCTTAATAACATGTTATAGCACGTTGATCTAATACTTTGGTATTATTAATTACACTTAAGAATATTACCCCTGTCCTTGCGCTTATTTACAAGCTAATTTGGTCACTAAGCTTATCTCACAAATATTATTATCAACATCACCATAGGCTTTCTTTCTCTCTCTCTCTCTCTCTCCGGTAAAGTAGATGTAAAATACTTGATACTTCACAGATATTAACCATTTTCCACATTTAATACATGAACATTTTCTGTAGATTAATAAAATTAGGCTCATCATCAGTATCAATTTAGTCATTACTGTCTCTTAAATCACTACCTATTAATTTCATCACAGTTTTTTTTTAGATGAAAAACAAACCATAACATCCTCGTCAGTCTTAATTAGGTCTTTTTTTTTTTAGTTTAACCAAGTCATGTTCTGTGCTAAACGACGTTACTAAGTTTGCTTGCTGACGAAGACACATGATGCAGCATAAGGCTTTATGATAACACCATTTCGGTTAGAGCTTTATAAAGTTATCATGTTATCTCCTTGAGTGAAACGTTGCCCGAGTTAAAGTTTATTCAGCAAAACCTGTGCCTTTTCTTCCCGACTGATTCTTCACTACCACTGGTGCTGAGTTCCGTTTCTCTCCTCCTAGACGAGAAACACAGCTGTGGCAGAGATCGCAGATAAGAGTGAGATGAGGAGATTAAAGGTAAACAGTCACTGATATTGCACCTAAAGCTATGGAAGATATAGATTAGATTTTTTTTACTGTAGATTTTTTCTGTATTGACTAACCTGAGTAAACTCTCAGTGTACATAACTGAGAAAAATGCACCTTTAAGTGTAGTATATTATTAAGTATTTATGTGTATGTATGAATGCATGCATGTGTGTGTATGTATATACGTACTCACCTATATGTGGTTGCAGGGGTCGATTCATAGCTCCTGGTCCCACATGATTGAAAACAATACTCCATCCCATATCACAGGCCTGAATAAAATTGTCATTTATATACACGATATATTTAATATAAATAAAAAAATGAGATGCTCATAAACCAAAAATATATTTTTAATTCGCGTTTTTATTTTTTTTTGTCCCTTTTAAGATTTAAGAAACTCAGGTTGTGTTATTAGCGGGCGGTTCATGTAGACTCTTACTTACTCTACAGGTAACAGAAGACATCAAAGAAGATATAACTAAGACGGTGTCGGATATGAGCAGCAAAGATCTAACAACTAGGCTGCAGGCAACGACGAAGGCAAGACGAATGCTTTCCATGGAGACTGATCCACCTATAGATGAGTTTCTAGCAGTAGATGTGCTGACTCCTGCCATGAACAACTTGCAGCATGAGAAGTAAGGAGTTTGTAGATCATGGGCTATAAAATATATGAGCTAAAAGTTAGTTCTTTGCCTATTACGCTCCTTACCTCAATCTTGTCATTACTGACACAATTAGGGTAAGAAGAGTAATAGCGCCATCGCTGACCCACTCTACCCAAAAGTACCATAACTTACTTTTGTCAACAGTAGTATCATAACTCACACTGCATGATAGTGTCAGCACTAGAATGCCATAACTGATTTTCGTCAGCAGCAGAGTGCCATAATTGACTTTCTCAGTAGTAGAGTGCCAAGACTTACTCTTATTTTCACAGTTCTACTCTGGTGTACGAGACAGTATGGATCATCACCAACATATCATCAGGCAGCAGCTTACAAACACATACTGTTGTGGGTAAGCCTCTTTGTTGTTGCTGTGTACCTGTGTTGGTGTTCATGTAGGTCATTGTGCTGCTAATGTAATGTATGGATAATGTTAATGGTGTTAGTGACTTTTGTGCTGATTTGGACATAATATGGCGAAATATGGTATGGTGTTTTTGAGGGGGGGTTAATGCCCCTGATTAACACGAGGCCCGACATGGCGAAACGTTTTCTTAATAAATGTCTTCATCAGTTTTGACGTGTCTTTTTACCTACATGTAAATAGTATGTTGATGGTGATTATGATGAGTGAGGCTACAGTGTTATTGATGGTTGTAGCTACAATGTGACTGATGGTTGTAATACTACTAGGATTCTTATGTCTGTGTCTTTAACATCATTGTGATGCTTGTGGTTGCTGTAATGATTACAAGGGTAATTTCAGCGTAAGTTTTATTTGTAGATTCCTGAAGTTATTTTTTTAGCTTTATTTTTTGATAAACACAATTTAATTTGATAGATAAGAGAAGATTGCTCTCGCTAGCCCACAATTCACCGTCCTTGTATTTTATAAATAAAACTCTTAATTATCAAATTTCGTTGCTCTTTGTCTCTTTCCCTATCATCTAATGTCATTTTTCATTCCCTAACTATCATTCTTTTCAATTTTCTTGTCTTTTATAAAGTGTTTCCCCCTCTTTTTTATGCTTTCCTATATACCTTCTTCGTTCAACTTTCTCCTCTCCTTCCTTAGTTATCCCTCTCCACTTTTCTTCCGCCATTCTCCTCCACCTTTCCTCCAGCTCATTTCTCCTACACCTTCGTCTCTTCTCCCCATATTTACCTTTTGAAACTTCTGTAGCTACTGAACCGATACCTTGACAATGACGATATTCCCATCACACTACTGTAGCTCCAGCTTAGGATGGGTTATATATATATATATATATTATATATATAAATATATATATATATATATATATATATATATATATTATATATATATATATATATATATATATATATATATATATATATATATATTATATATATATATATATAATAGCTTTTGTTACCACGATGCAACAATAACATACAGTTGGATAGCAGCAAAATACTAATATGCCCATTTTTATTTTAATGCAGAACGAGGCTTTATCGGCCCGCTGGTGGGGCTCCTGACGACAAACAACAACGAGGTGCGGGAACAAGCCACCTGGGCGCTGGGTAACATTATGGGAGACGGAGCGGAGTTCAGGAACATGGTTGTGGCTGCTGGAGTTATCAAGCCCTTGCTGTCGCTCCTCGATCAGGGTTTACCGGTAAAGGGATAGAGGGAGGAGTGTGTTAAGAGAGAGGGAGGGGTGTGTTAAGAGAGAGGGAGGGGTGTGTTAAGAGATGGAGGGAGGGGTGTGTTAAGACAACAGATGGAGGGAGGGGATGTGGCCCAGTTTCTAAACACAGGATTTTTCTCTATAACCTTTCCACTATATCTCGCAGGATATATTTGGGGTGCATAATTTATGTTTCAGTTTAAATCGAAATTTAACATTGAAAAATTTTGGCACAGGCAGAGCCAGGTTTCCTGAATAATTTGATTTTAAAGTACAAGGTATAACTGCTTATAGCTCCAGATTAGTTTCAGTTGAGGCTTTTTTTTTGGGGGGGGGGGAACTGGCCTACCTAACCTATGTTGCGAAAAAAATGGTAAACAATTCACAGCTATAGCCACGAAGTACACCAGACAAATGATCATTGATTTTGTCTAATATTTCATGTAGTATTTTGAAAGCCTTATAAAATTTTAATAAATAATATTTAACTATTGGTTTGGGAACTAGTACTGACAGCTATACATATCTTGAAATTTATTTATCAGAATAATGGCTGATAGATAGCTTTGCCTTAAATCTTTCATATAGCGTTGTGAAAGTCTAATACAGCTGTGCATGTGTGTCTGACAGATCTCCTTCGTCCGCAACATATCATGGCTGCTGTCCAACCTCTTGAGATACAAGCCCTTGCAGATGTCTGAGGAGGAACACACGTTTATTCTCAAGGCTCTTAAGGAACACCTTCTTATCCACAATGATAGTGAAGTGTGTGGTGAGTAGGTAACAATAAAGGGGAAGGAAGAGGGGCTCCACGAAATGAAGTGTGAGGCGAGTGTGGAGAATACTGGGGAGGGGAACACCATGAGAGTGACATGTATGGGAAGTGTTTACATAGTTTATAATGAATATGGAATAACGAGGATATTATTATAACAAAGTTGGAGAAAGTAGGTAATTCATTTTAGTTAATAAGACTGACTACCTAAGGAAGGCGTTTGATTTAGTTAGCCGCTTCATGTATATATAAAATAGTGGCGAAAAATCTGTTGTTAGTATCAGTTGCTGATTTTAATAAGCATATCTAAAGCAATTTTTTAAGAGGGTTCATAGAAACCTTCCATATTTTTTTCCACAGTGGACGCTCTGTGGGCTGTCAGTTACTACGCTGACATGGACAACACGCACATCCAACAGGTGGTGGAAGCTGGTATCATCCCTCTGCTGATGCTGCATCTTAACTCAGATAACCGTCTGATAGTTCAGCCAGCTATCAGGACAATTGGCATCATGACCAGTGGCACAGATGTTCAGGTAATGACCTCCCCTCCTTGTGTGATGTAGGTCATTGCCTTCTTCAGAAAGTAGCACAGGTAGACACTGCCATCTTGTCACCATTTATAAATAACGGTATTGCTTCCTGATAAAAAAATATAAGATAAATTTGATTGGTACTGTTCTTAAGTACCGTGGAGAACGTGTCGCATGGCACCATTCATATTTACAGTTAAGGATAAAGTAGTTCAGGCAGCATAATATAAAGTGCATAAATAACAAGTAACGTTAACGTACTAACATATTGTTAATTGTACCACGAATAAAGAATCCTTAGGAAAGGTACGAGCAGTGTGGATCAAATTATATGACGCAACCTTGGCAGTGTCCCCGCTATGACCCCGTAGGGGTCATAGTTCCTGGAGAATGTGAGTTAATCAGGGTTAATCCAAGGAAACCCATGTCCATCATTAAGACATGCCTCCCTCTCCCCTCCCATAAATCGAGCATTTGCGATTTGTTGACAAAGAATCGATCGAGTCTTCATTACCTCTTTTTAAATACTTTGAATTACATAAGATTACACTTCTGTTTTGTCTCAAGATTTCGTTTGCTGTAGTTTCTTCTACATTTCTAGACTGATGTAGTGCTAGAAGCTGGGATCCTAGCAGAGTACTCTCGGCTGCTGACTAAGGAGTTGGGTGTCAGGAAGGAGATAGCCTGGGGCGTCTCCAACATCCTAGCTGGTACACGCAGCCAGATACAGAGTGTTGTTAAATCAGGGATCATACAAGAACTCATCAAAGCCGCTCAGAAGGTAAGCACAATCCAGTAATTTCATATTCCAGTTTTCTCGTCTCATCCTCCAGCTGTTACATCACATCCTCCAATTATAGCATCCCATCCTCCAATTTTTACATCCCATCTTCGTTTTCACATTCCATCCTCCAGTGTTTAAATCACATCCCTCAGTTTTCACATCCAATCCTTCAGTTTTCACATCCCTTCCTCTAGTTTCACATCCTGTCCTCCAATTTCTACAAAGTTTTTTACTTAGACTCTTCAATCACGTCATCTGCCAACTTCCGTGTACCTGAAGGTTACCTGAAGACGATTCCAGAGGTCACCGCCTCCCGCGGGCCGGTCCCAGACCAGTCTTGATTGATCAAGTCCTCTTACCTATCACTATATCCTTCATAATCACGCCCTCTACTGTAGTAAAAGGAGTCATGAATATAGGTTGAACGTGAATTGGAGTGGGCGTTTTTGGGTGGGAGTTAGACCTGCTTAGCATAGGACAGTAGGCTTATTTCACTGTACATTATTATGTTCTTATACACAGACCGCATGAGCAATATATAAGAACACTAAAAAAATGTTTCTCTTATTTAAACATGGAGGATTTTTATTGAAATACATAATTTTTCAGCAGCCTGACCTAAGGTCGATTATCAGCTTATATTCCTAAATAAAATGTTTAAAAAATGTAAATAGAATCGGAAGAGCTAAACTTATATATTATATATATATATATATATATATATATATATATATATATATATATATATATATATATATATATATATATATATATATATATATTTTTTTTTTTTTTTTTCAACAAGTCGGCCGTCTCCCACCGAGGCAGGGTGACCCAAAAAAAGAAAGAAAATCCCCAAAAAGAAAATACTTTCATCATCATTCAACACTTTCACCACACTCGCACATTATCACTGTTTTTGCAGAGGTGCTCAGAATACAACAGTCTAGAAGCATATAAACATATAAAGATACACAACATATCCCTCCAAACTGCCAATATCCCAAACCCCCTCCTTTAAAGTGCAGGCATTGTACTTCCCATTTCCAGGACTCAAGTCCGACTATATGAAAATAAACCGGTTTTCCCTGAATCCCTTCACTAAATATTACCCTGCTCACACTCCCAACAGATCGTCAGGGTCCCAAGTACCATTCGTCTCCATTCACTCCTATCTAACACGCTCACGCACGCTTGCTGGAAGTCCAAGCCCCTTACCCACAAAACCTCCTTTACCCCCTCTCTCCAACCCTTTCGAGGACGACCCCTACCCCGCCTTCCTTCCCCTATAGATTTATATGCTTTCCATGTCATTCTACTGTGATCCATTCTCTCTAAATGACCAAACCACCTCAACAACCCCTCTTCTGCCCTCTGACTAATACTTTTATTAACTCCACACCTTCTCCTAATTTCCACACTCCGAATTTTCTGCATAATATTTACACCACACATTGCCCTTAAACAGGACATCTCCGCTGCCTCCAACCGTCTCCTCGCTGCTGCATTACCACCCAAGCTTCACACCCATATAAGAGTGTTGGTACTACTATACTTTCATACATTCCCTTCTTTGCCTCCATAGATAACGTTTTTTGACTCACATATACCTCAACGCACCACTCACCTTTTTTCCCTCATCAATTCTATGATTAACCTCATCCTTCATAAATCCATCCGCCGACACGTCAACTCCCAAGTATCTGAAAACATTCACTTCTTCCATACTCCTCCTCCCAATTTGATATCCAATTTTTCTTTATCTAAATCATTTGACACCCTCATCACCTTACTCTTTTCTATGTTCACTTTCAACTTTCTACCTTTACACACATTCCCAAACTCATCCACTAACCTTTGCAATTTTTCTTTAGAATCTCCCATAAGCACAGTATCATCAGCAAAAAGTAACTGTGTCAATTCCCATTTTGAATTTGATTCCCCATAATTTAAACCAACCCCTCTCCCAAACACCCTAGCATTTTTCTTCCTTTACAACCCCATCTATAAATATATTAAACAACCATGGTGACATTACACATCCCTGTCTAAGACCTACTTTTACCGGGAAGTAGTCTCCCTCTCTTCTACACACCCTAATATATATATATATATATATATATATATATATATATATATATATATATATATATATATATATAAACAAGAGATGTGTATCTCAGGGCATGGCATGTACTCTCAGTGTATAAACACATGCAAATTTACCTTAATCCCTATTTTTTAAGGACAGGTATTCTTGATGTTAGTGTCATAGATGACTTGTGGCCTTAATGACCCACCAGCAGTCGATAGTTTTCAAACCTTAACAAACTACCTACGTCTCTTCAGGATGAGATCTCCGTGAAGAAGGAAGTGATCTGGGCTCTCTCTAACATGACTCAGGGAGGTACTCAGGCACACATTGAGGCGGTGGTGGGTGTGGGAGGGCTCCAGCTCCTGGTCGACTCTCTCTTAACAGATAACGTCAATATCGTTCTTGTGGCTGCCGAAGGGATCAAGAACATGCTGGAGGTAATGTTACAAATATATTTCTTGATAGATGATTAAGTTTATAAATTCAGATTGGAACAAACTAATAACTTTTCATTCTCATTTATATTTCAGAAATTTGATAATGTGGAGAAGATCAAGGCCATGATAGAGGAGTATGGTGGTGTGGACTATATGGAAACCAACCTTCAGCACGTTAATGACGAAGTCGGCTTCAAAATGAATGACATTTTAAACACTTACTTCCCGGACCCATCCTTTACTTTTCCAACTCAGATGAAAAAAGATTTCTATGAGAACACGGACATCAACCAGAGCTTGTCGAGAAAAGCTACGAAATATGTGGCCGAATTAGTTTCTCCCTGAAAGCTGTCGTTTAATAAAATAATAATAGTTTACCCTATTTTTTTTTTTGTAATAGTTATCCTTGAAATAATAATAACACCAACGACTTAGAATTGTTCTGTTAGTGATTTTAAAATATCATTATGAAGTATGAATGTGATATATATGTATATTTTTGAAAATTTGTATTGATTGCTGGTTAAATTATATTCTCTGCTGTACATTATTTTGAGTGTGTAACCGTTCAATAAAACTGTTATGGTGGTATGTTGTAGTGAGGTTTAACCTTTCATATGTCAGTCAGTATACATCCCGTTGACACGGGCTTATTTACTTACATTAACTTCGCTATTGTTTAGCCTTTTTTATATTTAGCAAAAAAGATACATTGACACTGTTGCATCGTGGGAATAAACATTAGCTGTTTCAATGTCATATTTCATCACACAGGATGAGGGTCACAGGAGGTGTTGAAGTCTGTCAGAATATTCTATCCTACAATGTATAGCCTTCCTTCTAGGAGACTGGGAAGGGTTCTTGATACAAGGAAGTAGAGCTGCTCTCCCTCGGATCAAGCCTAATTCCCATTCCCAGGCGCTGTGTGGCCCCAAACACGTTTAGCACTTCCTCAGGAATATAATAATAATGTAAAGCTTATTGTTAGCAACAGTAATAACTCTGCTTGTGTACCGTACTAGGCTTTGGGCAAGACTTTTCTTTCTTTAATCAACTATCTACTTATTATCTTCCCACCCAACTATCTACTTATTATCTTCCCACCCAACTATCTACTTATTATCTTCCCACCCAACTATCTACTTATTATCTTCCCACCCAGCTGTTCTATTTCAGTTTCTCCATACTTAAAGTACGCAAACCTGCTTTGAATTCTTGTCTAAAACCCCTAAGAAAGTCCGCGCTAAAGGTGTAAAGTGTTATTATACAGAGTCTGGAACATGTGGGATCGACAGTCCTTCCAGGACATGAAGGTTGCTGTGAATGATGAGTTCCTGTGGTCTGCCACCGCGCTACTTCTAAACATAATACATCTGCACTGTGACAACAGACTCAACTTCGACTCTTCAACACGTAAGAAAGTTTGATAAGGCCCTCAGGTGTACCATCACGCTTGCTGCTGAGATAAAGGACTTGCATTAGGAGGACAGACTCGACAGTAGAGTATGCAGCCCCAGTTTGGACTCTTATGAATACATAAGACTGTATGACCCTTGTAGGTTTAGCGCTTCATTTTGTAACACTAATAATAATAATGAATACGTAAGAAAGCTTGAGAAGACCATGAGATGTGTCAGCAAGCATCTGAGATAAAGAGACGTGATGCATGAGGGTGAATACAATAAACCTCACAGCACCGGGGAAAAGAAAATTCAGAGGTAGGATATGGTCACGACATACAAGATATTCAGAGGTGTTGCTAATATGGATAAAGACACTTAAAATGGTGGAGCAGGACAAAAGGACACAACTGGAATTAAGCCACCTAAATGAGACCTGAATTATTATAATAATCACGAAGAAGCGCTGAATCTGTAAGGATCACATAGCACCTGGAGCAAGGTAAGTAATCAGGTATGATCCATGGAAGGAGAGGGCAGATACTTTTTGATAAGGTCTTCACCAGCATGAAGTCACTCATCCCGGCCTCTCAGTCCTCTTTATTGTGGGTGGATAATTAATTATTGGAGTAATGCACACTTGTTGGGTTAATGATCTGTCATTTGTGGGTATATATTTTACAGTGTCTGCTGTAAACTACTTTTTTTAACATATTCAATGAGTACATTCTGTAGGAGCTAAAATGTTCAATTGTTGTGAAACGCAACAGATATTTTACTATAGTTTGTCCTTATATTAAGTATCTCGTGGTTTCTCAGATTATTATTATTATAATCAAGGGGGAAGCGCTAAACCCGGAGGATTATACAGCGCCTGGGGGGGATGTCCGGATGTGGAAGGCATTCAGGCTTAATTCGGGGAACTGGAGCACAGATCCAATTCCCTAAATCAAGAACCCCTCACCAACATCAAGGAACCTTCCCTGAGGGGTGTGGTTTCTCAGAAGACAATAATAACGTAAGTGTTTGTATCAAGCTTTTTTTCATTTACGCTAGAATTTAAAAACAAAATATATTACATCGGATAAAAGATTTCAGGCTATCTACTGTCGTAATATTAATCGTAAGCGTTTGATAAATTAGATGCTGGACGGGCAGAGAGAGAAATTGTTCATGGGCAGATACCATTATTCACTGAACAGGGCCTTGGTGGGCAATGGTTATACTGTGTTAACAGGTGGATCAATCACCCCCAGCTAGCGAGGTATATAGCGCATGTGTAGGGATACTCACCACGTCAAGCTTATTGTACACACCTCAGCTCATACATACTCGGTGAGTCTGCACTACCGTATATGGCTGTTTGATCGAGTGATGACTAATTCAGAACACATGAGATTTCTCCCATGGAGAAATCTTAACATTTATTCCTACAGTTTTATTAATATCACAGTTTATGAAAAAAAATAATACCTAGTCATATTGTCAGAAGCATCTTCTGCTATAAATATTGTGCACTTATGAATTATAATGTTAATACAGAAGTAGTTGTAGCAACGCACGGGAGACAGAACACTGAAGGTTGAGCTAGCACCATGAATTGTTGACGAGGTCGTCAAGCAACGAGGAGCAGTTCTTCCACTGACTCCTCACAAGCAACATCCTACTTCTTCCCCTCCTGTATTCCCCAGCCTCCCCCACCCCATTAACTCCAACCTATCGTGTAATTTCAAGTTTAACCCTCCTGTTACCCCCACCACCCAGAACAAGGGAGTTTGGAACCTCAGTCAAGACAAAAAATTTAGAATTCCCATCATCCAGGCCAAGGAATTTCTAGCTTATACTATCCTAAACAAGGAGTTAACAATCCTCATCATCCAGAACAAGCAGTGTGAACCCCCCACCACGTCTCCAAGCACATATCATTAACTCCACACCAGTGAGTATCAACTTGTTTAGTTTCTGTGGTAGAGTGTTCAGTGAGTGTTGGTTCTGTTGCAGTTAAATGATGGGCGAGTGATTGCCTATTTATAGTTAAAGGAATAAAGAAAGACTCGTGTATAAAACAGATAAATGTAGCACATAAGAATGACGCAACATTGCAGAAGGCCTGTTGCTAGGCAGGTGCATCTCGTATCCAATTATATACCTGGCCAACCTATATTTATAGTTGCCCAAAGTTTTCGCTATAAAATACTACCTGGGAGTTTATTACACTCATCTACGTTAGGAAATTTGTTAGGATATTTTTCGCTTACCCGAAGCTTATCAATCGATATTACATGCCTTATAACACACTCGTATACACCGTGAGGTGATTAATTTCTATTTTACGAATTAAAATGTCTATGACGTGATGTAAAACGATGCATGCATCCTTAACCACATCCAATCATGTGTGACATGACTCGTGGTGTCTACCTTCATTTTTGTGATTTGCATTTCAACTTTCCTTCAGAATGAGATCCACAACAGTCTAACATCAGAGTACCTATTTACAGATAGGTCAGCGGGGGCAGCTGGTGCCAAGAGATTTGCCCATGTGTCTTAAGGATTAAACTCCTAGAAATGCCATCCTCTCAGGATATCCAGAAAATATATATTTTATATGTTTTGAATGAATCTTAATCCATTATCAAATTCGTAAATTATACTATGGTTAAACTATATATGTATCCATATTAAATTAATACAGCCTATATGATATTGAATTACAAGATAAAACTTTAAATAACAAAAAAAGGCACAATACCGTGACTGGAACGATGCACAAATAACCTGCACATAAAAGAGAGGAGCTTACGACGACGTTTCGGTCCGACTTGGAGCATTTACAAATGGTCCAAGTCGGACCGAAACGTCGTCGTAGGCTCTTCTCTTCTATGTGCGGGTTATTTGTGTAAGATAAAACTTTAATTACCTTTACAGAAAATTTGCAGGTAGATTAGACAAACTCTTAGGTAAGGAGCCGCGAGGTGTGAGTGAGAAATGGGGATAGGAGAAGAATAGAGGCGTTGTGTGGCATCAGCTATGTCGATTAGGTCCTTATGCCAGGGGGTTTCTTGATGTTTCGGTTATGTTCGACCTGAGTCTGCAAACTGAACATCATGGTACGCCCGTCGTAAACGTCGATATAATATATAACATTGAACATGTTAGGTCTGCCGTGACCGTCAGTATAACCCACCCAGCTGCTGCTGTATACAGGTATCGTAATTTTACAGGTGGTGTACTGCAATACAGACTGTAACCTGAGTGATATGACATCAGTAGTAAGGAAGTAGTCATGGGGTTCATTTAGGTATGTGTGCACATGTGTAATCATGCTAGGATACCGTGAGAAAATTTTAGAAAGGACTTTATTTTAAATGAGTTCTTGCTAATTGACCAGTTTTACAATATTCGGCACGACATATATATAATATATATATATATATATATAATGTATATAAATATATATATATATATATATATATATATATATATATATATATATATATATATATATATATATATATATATATATATGTCGTGCCGAATATGTAAAACTGGTCAATTAGCAAGAACTCATTTAAAATAAAGTCCTTTCTAAAATTTTCTCATACATTTAAAGATATATTTTTTTCATTAATGTTAATGTAAAAAATTTTAATTTTGCTCCAAAAGAATCTTAGAAAACTTACCTAACCTTATTTTAACAAGAACAATTTATTTTAGCCTAACCCAACTAAATATATTTTAGATTTGTTTACATTAATTTAATACTATACAAACACAGTGAAATATATTTTTCTCGTTAGGTTCAGAATGATTTTGGCGAAATTATTGCATACACAAATTTTCGCTTGTCCTATATGGCAAGACAAGCGTTGCTATTTAAGCCAAGTTCGCAAATTCTGCCTATTCGGCACGACATATATATATATATATAATATATATATATATATATATATATATATATATATATATATATATATATATATATATATATAATATATTAATATAAATAAAACCTACTTTTCTGTGAACAAGTATTTGAGGGTGGTCACGTCATTAGCTTGGAATTACAAAAAATAATAAAGAATGGCTGACTTGTTCAATACCTCAGTAGTGTGACCTACTACGCCCACGTTCTCTGTTCATGTGTTGCCAGGAGTGGCGACGCTTCTAGGAATATTCCCAGTGACGAAGCCAGAAAACATCTAAATTCGACGAGGCTCATTCAGAATTATTTACACCGGTGGATTTTTGACATTTAAATGTCATTGTATTTCGACTTTTAAAAGGAGATTCCTTGATGCCGCTAAAAGGGTTCTTGATCCAGAGAATTGTAGCCGTTCTCCTTTTCCTCCCATCAAACTCGATTATCTCCTCATTCCATAAGCGTTGTGAGAGTGCTACCCCGTGAAAGGATGCGCCTAGATGCCTGTGAAAGGTTCCTGATCAAAGGTATTGGAGGTACTCTCCACTTTTAGTTCAAACTTGATCACCTCCCACTCCCAGGATCTAAATTTACCCTGTAAATATAACAACTACAATAATAATTTGTCTCAAAATGCCTGACTCTTATTGAAATAGATTTTGCAAAGCCCACTCTGGCGTTCACATTTTTATTTCTAAAATATTTTCATACACCCCCTTACCCCTCACTTCAGTGTCCCCGTGAGAGGGGGTGATCGTCCTCCCTCGGATTTACAGGTGAACAATCAATAAGAATCAGTACGTAGCCTTATTTTTCGATTTATTACCGTTTGTATCCTTCGAGGGTGAAGGAGAGGAAGGGTGATGACATGATGTTAGTGAAGGAACTTTGGTCCAAGGAATTAGGGTTACCCTTCCTTGGACATAACCTGATCACGGTCTTGACCGTTAATAATGCAACGTTCCGGACAACCTGGAGAATATAAATAATCAGATAACAGAAGCATGCGTAAACGTTAAGATAACAAGCAACGTTGTGAAATAAATGAGGACATGTTGAGTAATAAGGTAATAAAGTAAGGCTTTGCATTCCAAACATTTGCCCTAAATAATTGAGTCCAGCATGGATCACAAATACTGCCTCGCATGTTAGGCAGTCATATATATATGTGTGGTGAGGCTTGATGTGCGCGCTAACCTAATTTTGTGTGCGCATATTGAGCTCCATCTCTTGTCCCACGCCTTTTTTTCTTAACCTAATTTACTTTCGAGAGGGGCACCTTGATGTTGATGATGCCCTTTTGATCCAAAGAATTGGAGCTATCCTCTCGTTCCTTGGATTAAACTTGATTACCTCCCATTAGCCAGGTGCTGTAAGAGCCTTACAGTTTTAGCGCTTGCGGCTTGGAAAGGCTGGTTGCCAGAGTGATCTTTCTGTAGTGATTAGCAGTCGGAGGATTGAGCCTGAATGACCCACACGTGTTTAGCCCTTCATATAAAAATATTTTGGTGCGTGCGTGTGAAGGAAGCGCTAAATCCATAGGAGTCACATAGACCCTGGTGGAATGGAAAGAAGAGGACTTCAATTCCTTGAATGAAAAAATCCTACAGCAGCATCATGTCACCTCCCACGAAAAATCTGAAGGTTTCAAGTCAGTTTTTTACTGGCTTCACCACATGTGTGATTCATGGAAACAGACAAGTACAGTGTAATGAAATCCTTTAGTGAAAATGTTTCGCCCACGCAGTAGGCTTTGTTAAGTCAAATTCATGTGTCTGAATCCACAGCAGTCTGACCATTCTCGAAATTGCAACATGATATTTAATTTTCCGAAAGGCCTGAAATATATTTTTTTCAAGCATATTATTACACTCGTGAATAAAAAAAATCATATTTGGTGTGTATAATAGATACAGAATATATGTGAGTCTTGCTTGGTTATCCTACTGGACTTGCTTCTGGCAACCAAGGATTCTCTGACATAATCTTGAGGTTAATGAAGAACTTAAAGAGATCACAAATCATTTAACTAAAACCTCATGGAATTACCTAAATAACAATAACAAAGTTAAGGTCCCTGGTTTTCGCTTCAAATTATAGATCAATCACCCACTGCCAACGATTTTAAAAAGGCGTTTTTGTCTTGCGAATTTACTAACCTTTTTTTTTTTACCAAAGTATTCGAGGTGATTGACCAGGATATGGTTTCCGGTAAGGCTTTTGATGAAGTTCCACACACGAGACTGGTGCCTTTGTTTTTCACAATCTGTATAAAGGACAGCGATGAGGGAACAGGCTATAGGATGACCTGGTTAAGTTGATGTGGTCGGAGAAGTGGCAATATAGTTCAATTCAGACAGGTGTAAGCTTCTAAACCTAGGAAGAGAAAATACTTAGGGCAGGTATAAGCTAAACAATACAGAGCTTAGTCAAATTTAATGAGAAAAAGATCTATCAGTTCTGGTAAGCAGAAGTTTAAAGCCAAGACAACAGTGCATAAGTGCTTGCAATAAAGCTTAGAGAATTATTGACTTCATTACAAGAAGTGTAATCAACAGGACCTTATGATTATGCTGCTCAGTTCTGGTCTCCATTTTACTGAATTGACATAATGACCGCAAAACTATATAGAGAAGGATGACGAAGTTACTTTTCCTACGAAAACAGCCTGAAGATATTAACTTTGGGAGATACGATTGAATTGTACGAATAGAAAACAGGAATAAATAAAGGGGATATAAATAGTGTGTTGAAAATATCAAACCAAGACAGGCCTCGCAGCAATGGATTCAGATTTGAGAAATATATATTTAGAACGGATATAGGGAAGAACTGGTTTCGAAATAGAAATATAGGCGAGTGGAATAAACCTCCATATAGTGATTGGAGTAAACTTTGGGTAGCTTTAAATATAAATTGGACAGGTACATAAGTGGGTGTGAGTGAGTTGAATCTTCCTATCATGGACCAGACTTGCTGCAATGTTCCTTCGTTCTTATATTTTCTGTGTTAGTGTCATAGATATTTTGACCTTGGTACCGAATCAATAAATTCCGAGACGATGATCCATACCTGCCAGCGACTGCTCATGTATATCTAATGTATATTGTTTTGTTATATTTTCACTTGGCGTCGTCATACTGGAAGTTTGCATTGTTGGAGACATTGATTTCTTTTCTGGGCAGGAAGCAGCCTTGATAGTGGAGTAAGTGCTCTAATAGAAGCCTCGTAAGGCGATAATTGTATTTATGAATGGGAAAGTTAGACTTATGTAATCTGAAGCAACACTCACATCTTCAACATCTTCAGAACCTAACTTAAAACATCTTCAGAACCTAAGTAACTTAAAATATTTTCAGAACCTAAGTAAGTTAAAACATCTTCAGAACCTAAGTAAGTTAAAACATCTTCAGAACCTAAGTAAGTTAAAACATCTTCAGAACCTAAGTAACTTAAAACTTCTTCAGAACCTAAGTAACTTAAAATATTTTCAGAACCTAAGTAACTTAAAACATCTTCAGAACCTAAGTAACTTAAAACATCTTCAGAACCTAAGTAACAACACATCTTCAGAACCTAAAGCATTTTTAAAGCCTAAGTAACCTTAAATATCTTCAGAACCTAAGTAACGTTAAACGTCTTTATAACCTAAGTAACCTTAAACGTCTTTATAACTTAAGTAACCTTAAACATCTTTAGACCCTAATTAACCTTAAACATCCTTAAAACCTACGTAACGTTAAACATCTTTAGATCTTAAGTAAATATGAACCAGCTGGACATGAATGAATCTGTGTTCAGCAGTTGCTAGGACACCAAAAGTTTTCTTTCACTTATTTTTTTAATATTTTACATTTTCTTCATATTTCTGTATTAGTATCTTCATTATTTTAATTTGTCAACTTCCTATACCTGTATTTTTTACCCCTTCTCTCATGTATATCTTAATCATGTTTTTTTAATGTCACGCCATGATGAGGCTGTTTGAGTGTTAACATGATTTATGCTCCTTGTAATTCATGTTGGGTGTAATTGGTCGTATACGTCGGATATTAATTATGAGTAATTGCACAGTGAGTGACCAACAATGAAGTCTGACCTCGAATCGTAGTTCCTAAAACAGGGTAATTGGTAATCTCAAATATATTATTAACAGGGGTTAGGGTGTAAAACATTAGTACGATGTTTCACCCAGAGTGGAACTACTGTTTTGCACTTAATTATACTCCATCATGGATGATACAGCTCCACTAAGGGTGAAACATCATATAATAAACATTGACCCTGCTAAACGTGTCTTTAAAATTACCATTGTCGCCTTATTTCTATGTCGACCATTTTTTATGCAATTTTGTACAATATACATTAGAATATAGTGAGAATATATACAGCATTTGATGTCCGATTTACTAAATCAACTATGCCGATTTAAGAACATGATTTTTTTGTGGAACTTCCTATTTTCTTGAGAATAATGAAGTTTTAAATGTAGAGTAAATTAAAGGCTTTATTCCATCAGTTTCATACAGAACTCCCTTATACAACTAATTTGAGAAGAAAAAACAAAAGGAAAGTATATCAGTGTCGCATATACTAATATGTAGAAAGACAGTCATAGCGTAACAGCACAAACTTCAGTGTGACTTTGTAAATGGTCGAAGTCGTAAGTTTCTCTCTCCTATGTGCGGGTTATTTGTGCACTGTTCCAGTCACGGTATTGTGCCTTTTTGTTCTGTGTGTAAACCAAGGTTGGAGAGCTCTTTTCAACATCTTGCAGAAATCAGGAAACACTATGGGACTCCATTTTTCTCTGTAGTGTTTCCACTGCTTCAACAATTTGATGGAATCTTCCTCCATGCTCGTCACTCACGTCACATAAGTTATAAAAAACAGGCAGATGTGGCTAGAAGAAACGAAGTTAGTGACATGTAGCTGTGACATTGGCAACTTTGCAGTAGTTGATCTATCACTTGTGGTGATTAGTGATTTTCTGCGAATATAATAATAATTTTGTTGCAGGATCATAATCATTGGCAGTGAAGCACAACAGCCGTGAGAGTCTCTGGTGATGGACAGTGAAGAAATATTTAGATGTGTCTCTGGTGATGGGTAGTGAAGCACAGCCGTGAGAGTCTTTGGTGATGGACAGTGAAAAAATGCTCAACTGTGTGTCTCTGGTGATGGGCAGCGAAGAAATACTCAGTTGTGTGTCTCTGGTGATGGGCAGTGAAGTACAACACATCTGTGTGTCTCTAGTAGGCCAGGTGACAGACATCTAGTGCACAGGAACTATCGAAGACACTGTGAGTATCCTAGCTGCTGGGTTAAGCCCTGGCACTGTCTTCTACTCATAACCTTCCTCTCGCTAATCTACTCTTCCTCTATCCCGACTTCCCCGCTCACCCCACAAGGATCTTACCTAAACTTTCTTGTCTCGTCTGAGAGTATAATTTGTTCCTACAGAGTCCAAGATTGGTAGGTAATGTATAAAATGTCAGTAAGAAATATACATGGAAATTTTTAGTCAATAGGCTTTATCAAGTCAAGAAACTGATGTAACGTAGGGGCAAAACATCACCAATAAACCGTCCTTGTAGTTATACTTCTATTCACTTATCAAAAGTATATTTGATGTCTGGATCCATGTTAAACGTGATTTTGAGCAACCCTAAACGGTTGCTCAAATAACCGGTACGTCCTTTTGTTTTAGACAACACAATGTCGCTCATTACTACTACCACCTTCATGATCCAAACCAGTTATATATAGAATTAAGAGATCTATACTTGTGTTACCTAATGGTTGGCGGGTTGTTAGGTTTGAAGTTTAATAATGCAGTTGTTAGTTGGCTGTTAGGTTTAAAGCCTATCGACAGCATGGAATCATTTAAGACTTAGCCATGAGTGCACCACTAGTCAAGGATACTTAAATCTTTAATCGGTGTATATTCACAGAGATACACTCAGTGAATATCTCTGTGTTAATTACTTGTATATGATTATACAAGTAATTAGTAGTGAAGGGCTCCTGATTCAAGGAAACAGAGCAACTCATCTGTAGCAAACCTGCTTATCTCTCATTATGTTTTACCCCTACAGGTTTAATGCCTCCTCATTATGATCATAGTACTAATATAATAGAAACAACAGGAACAACAAAAACATTAATAATAATAATAATAATTGGAGATTAATTTATTCTGGTTGACTTATAACACGGAAGTGACCACCAATTTTTTTTAACACTCCGGCCATCACCCACCAAAGCAAGGTGATCCCACAAAGAAAAAAACTTTCACCGTCATTCATTCAGTTACTTTCTTGCCAGAAGGTCGCCGACTTCACAGTTCAGACGACCCACCAAACCACATCCCCACCTCTCCTTCAGAGTGCAGCCTCTGCATTTCCCACCTTAAAGATTTAAGTCCGGCTAACCGGTTTCCCTTCGTAAATGTTATTTTGATCACTTATTTTATCAAACTACAATTACGTTCTTTCTCATCTCTCCATCTCTGTCGTATGTGGGGGAAACTGCACTACCACGATTACTAATTGGACTCTCACACGCATTACACAGATACCTTATGAAGAGATGGCCGACACTTGTATGCGACGACTGTCAGGTCTCGCTGTCAGTCCACCGTATCTTAATAGACTGGTTTATCCATCAACCAGAGCCGAAATTAGCAGTGCCCAGAGGCGCTCGCTTTAACTAACCTCCTCCCTGATCGTACCATCTTTAAAGTAAACTTTATGACTTTTTTTTTTACTGAAACTGCCTATTATACCAACCATGAATTTTATTTTGCATTATTAACCAATAACTCCACTAACCCATAACTCCACTAACCCATAACTCCACTAAACCATAACTCCACTAAACCATAACTCCACCAAACCATAACGCCACTAACCCATAACTCCACTAAACCGTAACTTCACTAAACCGTAACTCCACTAAACCATAACTCCACTAAACCATAACTCCACTAACTCATAACTCCACTAACCCATAACTCCACTAAACCATAACTCCACTAACCCATAACTCCACTAACCCATAACTCCACTAAACCATAACTCCACTAACTCATAACTCCACTAACCCATAACTCCACTAAACCATAACTCCACTAAACCATAACTCCACTAAACCATAACTCCACTAACCCATAACTCCACTAAACCATAACTCCACTAAACCATAACTCCACTAAACCATAACTCCACTAAACCATAACTCCACTAAACCATAACTCCACTAAACCATAACTCCACTAAACCATAACTCCACTAAACCATAACTCCACTAAACCATAACTCCACTAAACCATAACTCCACTAAACCATAACTCCACTAAACCATAACTCCACTAAACCATAACTCCACTAAACCATAACTCCACTAACCCATAACTCCACTAAACCATAACTCCACTAAACCATAACTCCACTAAACCATAACTCCACTAAACCATAACTCCACTAAACCATAACTCCACTAAACCATAACTCCACTAAACCATAACTCCACTAAACCATAACTCCACTAAACCATATCAAGTGTTCATACACCGACGCAGCATTGTATGACCCATCAAGGTTTATCACTTTGTTTTGAATATAATAACGAATACCATTATATAATTTTATGATATAGGATATAATTGTTTTAATTGCAATTGCTCAAATTACATTTAGCACTGTGGCTAGTCATTTAATTTCAACATTAATTGTATTTGAAGGTAACTGTTGTACGATGTTAGTGCCATTACTTTTATTTTTATTTATTTTGGGTAATAGCAAGTAACCAGGTGTATCCGTGGATTGAGAGAGCAAATCCAATTCCCGGATCAAGAGCCCTTCGCCAGCATCAATGAATCTCCTTTGAAAGGGTCATGACTGGATCCTTTGTACTTTTTTAACCATGAATCTTCTTGAAACAATTTTAAATATTTATATGTTAATACACTCTTGGGAGGCCCTAAATACACGGATCATAATATAACGGTACTTTTATTTCCTTGTGAATATGGACTGCATAATGAGTTTTTCAATGGGTTTGCTAAAATTAGTGTAAATCGAGGTGTAAAAATGAACATATTTACCTTCTTTGAGACAGGTGGTACCAGGTGCTATGGTGGTGGTGTTTGGGTTCTGCTGACCCGAGGGAGAACAGGAATATCACACAAACGTTGGTACCTGGTAACATCACACTACACTCAACTGACCCAAACTATATTTCAACGTCTTCATCATGGATGTGAGTACCACTTGTGCTCACCTACAGTAACTGGTATTAGTTCCTTGTGCAGGTATTAGCTCTTAAGAAAAGAGCATAGTGTGGTAAGAAGTCTCAGTCTTCTTGCATTTGATACTCGTGGTTTTAGCGGTAGTACAAAGCTCCGGGTGGTGATAAAAGCATTTCAAACCAGCGGGTGGAGAACTCAGCCAGATTTGTCCTCCCACAGATTGAATCAATTCGCAAGCGCCGGGCGCACCTGAACGCTCTCACCTCCTCCACCAGACTACCTACCCTGACGCCCTTGGAAGTATTCGGAGCACGTCCCTCTTCAGTACACAGCCTCTCCTCCAGCAGCAGCAGCAGCACATCATCAGAGAAGAGGCGCCTGCAGCACCGCCAGAGACCAGACCTATACATGCCCAGGAAGGACTCAGCCTCGCTGGTCAGGGAGAGATCAGGCAGGAACAGGATGCCAGCCCTCACCATCCCACCCATGACGTTAGTTTTCACACGAAAGAGCTTGGTTAATGAGGCTACAAGGTTAGCAACTATACGAGGATCACTTAGGCTGCATGTTGTAATTGTTCAAGTGTCAAGAATGATTTAATCCCTTTTATAAAGTAAATTAATAATCGTGTAAATATATAGGATAGGTCTTAGTCATATGATGACCCGCTACTGGAGCATTTTGGTCATCTGCCCGAAGCCTTCCACTGGCTTACCCCTAGTCCTCAAAAAAAATTATATAGCTAGATTATACAGCGCTTAAGGATGGTCGATAATCTAGATCTGACCTGAATTTACGAGTTTTATTTATTGTTTAATTTTCAGTATTAGTCAAGCTTCTTTACTTTATCAAAACACATATTATTTTTTATAAACAACCGATTCTTTTAATGCTTATCATCAATAATAATTATCATCATCATCGCTGAAAAGCGATAAATCCAAAATTATACAGCGCCACGCCTGATGTTGGTGAGGGGCTCTTGATTTAGGGAATTGGATCTGTGCTCCAGTTCCCCGAATTAAGCCTGAATGCCTTCCACATCCCCCCCCCCAGGCGCTGTATAATCCTCCGGGTTTAGCGCTTCCCCCTTGATTATAATAATAATAATAATAGCAACAGCGCCACGCCAGTTATAATCCATACACATTATTGGTGGCAGCAATAATAATAATAATAATAATAATAATAATAGTGAATGTCCTCGGTTAGATGACCGAAAGCTCCAGCTGTGGGTCATCATCTGACTAAGATCCGCATCAGGAAATACTTGTCCTGTTTCCTGCCAAACATTATACCATACCATTAATAATAATAATACACTTTAATGATTTCATTATATTTATTTCATTGTCAATATTACTCTGTTAAAGGTATCAGTCACACTAGCAGAGTGACTGAGAGTTTGTAGGTTTGTTTGCAGTTAGAGCAGTAGTTATACTCAGTGACAAGGCTGTCTATAGTTAAATTCACTATTCAAGTTACTAGGTGACATAATTGTCGCAGTTAATGTTATTGTAATTGCCAGTGTAGATATTTTTGTTAGCAGTTATCATAAGTTATTATAACTCAAATTATAAGTAAATGCAGTAATTATAACTTTTATTAATACTGAGACCACAGTTATTGTATTTAGATATAACAAACAATGCAGTTATAACTAATTTAACTATGAGAACGTACTAAATCCTGTTGAATGGGAGGTAGTTATGCAGGTTTGATCCGAAGATGGTGACTCCAGTTCCGTTGATCAAGAGCATTTTACTAAAAGCACACCTTGAAAGGAGTTAGGATCACTAACTAATTATATAATTAACAGTACAGTTATGATCACTTCCAGTAGCTGTTAAACGGTGGTTATCACTGTCGAAGTTATTTTTTTAATCTTATTACAATTATTCTTGTTTTTGCTCTCATGGACAATTTTTTGGTAAGTGAAAACGTCGCTTTACTATAGTCAGTGTTTTGTTTTTTTGTGATATATATCACGAAAGTTCTTGAAAATTATTTTTCCATTTATGTATATATATAAATACATAAATGAAAAAAATTATGTATATATATATACGATGATAAGGGTATCAAATGGGTTGGGTAAAGAAAAAATGAATATCACATTGGAGAGAGTATGGAAGAAGTGAATGTGTTCAGATATTTGGTAGTTGGCTTGTCAGCAGAAGGACGAGGTAAGCCACAGAACTGATGGAAAAGAAGTGGGTGATGCATGAGGTATCCGTGGAGACAAAGAACGTTATTCATGGAGGCAAAAAATGCAGTGTATGAGAGTATAGTGGTACCAACACTCTTATATGGGTGTGAAGCTTGAGTTGCAAACATTGCAGAAAGAAGAAGGTTGGAGGTAGTGGGATGTCGTGTCTAAGGGCAATGTGTGGTGTAAATATTATGCAGAGAATTCGTAGTGTAGAAATCAGAAGGTGTGGAGTTGCTAAAAGTATTATTCAGAGGGCCGAAGAGGGGTTCCTTAGATGGTTTAGTCATTTATAGAGGATGGAGCAAAGTAGAATGACTGGGAGGGCGTATAAATCTATCCTAGAAAAGGATGGAGGGAGGGGGTGAAAGAGGTTTTGTGTACAAGGGGCTTGGACATACAGCAGGCATGTGTGAGCGTGTTAGATAAGAGTGAATGAAGACGAATGGTTTTTGGGACCTGACGAGCTGTTGGAGTGTGAGAAGGGTAATTTTTATGAAAGGATTCAGGGAAACCGGTTAGCCGGACTTGAGTCCTGGAAATGAGAAGGACAATGCCTGTACTGGCTGTTTGAAGTGACATGTGAACTGTCTTGTCTGGGAGCCTCTGCAAAGACAGTGATTATGAAAGTGTTTCGTCTTTGGGTCACCCTATCTGTGGGAGACTGCCGACATGCTTCTTGCCGAATAAGGCAAGCTAAAATTTGTGTATGCAATAATTTTGCAAAAAATCATTCTGAACATAACGAAAAAATATATTCTATTGTTTTTTTTTTTCAAGTTGGCCGTCTCCCACCGAGGCAGGGTGACCCAAAAAAGAAAGAAAATCCCCAAAAAGAAAATACTTTCATCATCATTCAACACTTTCACCACACTCACACATTATCACTGTTTTTGCAGAGGTGCTCAGAATACAACAGTTTAGAAGCATATACGTATAAAGATACACAACATATCCCTCCAAACTGCCAATATCCCAAACCCCTCCTTTAAAGTGTGTTTGTTTACTATTAAACTATTGTAAACTTATCTAAAATATATTTAGTTAGATTAGGCTAAATTAAATTGCGCTTGTTATAATAAGGCTAGGTAAGTTTTCTGAGGTTCTTTTGGTACAAAATTATTAATTTTTACATTTACATTAATGAAAAAATATAACTTTAAACGTATAAGAGAAAGTTTTAGAAAGAACTTAATTTTAAACAAGCTCTTGCAAATTGATGAGGGTTTCAAATGATTTAGATAAAGAAAAATTGGATATCACATTGGAGAGAAGGAGTATGGAAGAAGTGAATGTTTTCAGATATGTATTTGGGAGTTGATGTGTCAGCATATGGATTTATGAAGGATGAGGTTAACCATAGAATTGATGAGGGGGAAAAAAGGTGAGTGGTGCGTTGAGGTATATGTGGAGGCAAAAAAAAAAACCGTTATCAATGGAGGCAAAGAAGGGAATGTATGAAAGTATAGTGGTACCAACACTCTTATGTGGGTGTGAAGCTTGGGTGGTAAATGCTGCAGCGAGGAGGTGGTTGGAGGCAGTGGAGATGTCCTGTCTAAGGGCAATGTGTGGTGTAAATATTATGCAGAGAATTCGAAGTGTGGAAATTAGTAGAAGGTGTGGAGTTAATAAAAGTATTAGTCAGAGGGATGAAGAGGGTTTGTCAAGGTGGTTTGGTCATTTAGAGAAAATGGATCAAAGTAGAATGACATGGAGAGTGTATAAATCTGTAGGGGAAGGAAGGCTGGGTAGGGGTCGTCCTCGAAAAGGTTGGAGGGAGGGGTTAAAGGAGGCTTTGTGGGCGAGGGGCTTGGACTTCCAACAAGCGTGCATGAGGGTTAGATAGGAGTGAATGGAGACGAATGGTAATTGGGACCTGACGAGCTGTTGGAGTGTGAGCAGGGCAATATTTAGTGAAAAGATTCAGGGAAACCGGTTATTTTTATATAGCCGGACTTGAGTTCTGGAAATGGGAAGTACAATGCCTGCACTTTAAAGGAGGGGTTTGGAATATTGGCAGTTTGGAGGGATGTGCAATAGAACGGTATATATATAATTGTGGGCCCTGATATT